AGCAAGGGGAAGATGGTTGTAAACGAACGACTACCGTAGACGGCACAAAATAACACACCCCGTTGGTAACATTGGTAACATTTTGGGCTTTGAAAATATTATCACCGGGTGTGGTATCCTGTGGGGGGTGTGATATCTTATGTAGCCCGGGTGATGAGGTGCAGCTCGCTTGGGTCCTTAAGAGGGTGTGATAGGACGTCCGAACACGCACAGGGTGTGTTTGGGGTGTGATAATGAGGGTGTGTGATAAAAAGGTGTTATAACACTTCTTGTAGAGACAAACCGCTGCTGCCGCACACTTGGTTGGTATTGCGGGGGTGTGATAGATAGCAATCCATGCCTGTACGAACACTTCATGACTTGTGGTTCTGCGGAATGTGGTAAAACAAAGGAGCTTAACGGAGGTGACGAAACTCCTGAGTACATGACTCGGTGGCCACAAAGCGTGCCATTCGTCCTGCCCCCTCACACAAGAAGCAGGCTCCTGCATGCCTTGCTATTGGGTACGACGAGAAGAGAGTTACACAGACGTTGTGTGTATGAGGTACCCACATGCCCACGCGGCAGATGTTGTATCACCCCGGTGAAAGAAGGAGGAGCCTGCGGCGTAACCTCAAGGGGTGTGTTATCTTTTGTAACCCGGGTGACAAATCGATGGTTTATCAGAAACGCCGAAAATTATCACTGGGGTGTCGTATTCCGTGGGGGTGCGGTTTCTTGTGTGGGTGTGTTATCTTGTGTCGTTTACGGTAGGCTACGGTACGGCTAGCACCGGGAAGATCGTTGTAAACGAACGGCTAGGCTACGATGCGGCTAGCAAGGAGAGCATCGCCACCCAGCATCGGTGCGGAAGAAACGAACGACCACTCGAGCGCGCAAACTCCCCCGAACTAAGGGAAATCCAAATATTTCGAAAGAGAGACGGAACATGCCCCCCTTCCTACAAAGAGCTACTGTGATGAACATTTTCGTACGAAAGATGGTGCATGCCCTCCTCTGTAGCTACTGGGTTAAACATTTTTGAAAGAGACTGCGGTACATGCCCTCGTTCCTCTGCACAAGGGGCTGCTGTGCCGCAGCAACCGTAGTGCCATAAGAGGGTGAGGGTTCGGCCGATTTGTCGACTCGTTCCCCCCGAGGCCGTGCCAGCAAATCAGCGATTCAGGGTGAAACGGGAAAAGACTACGACAACTCAGAGCGCTCGTCGTCGAGTGACCAGAGGGCCTTGATTAATTCGTATGAAAATAACTTGCAATCCTTAAGAAGAACCCAGAAAAGCGTGCATTGCTAGATACCGCAGTGTCGAACTCAAGCTCCGATTTGTACATACAACGCCCTTAAAGACCTAGCCGGCAGAGGAGATGGTATACTACTCGGCAACACAAAAACACAGAACACTCCAAAGTGAACAAAACACGAGGCACACATAAAAACATAATAGCACAAAACACACGGTGTATGTATGGATAGCACAACACACCTCGTAGGTGTGATACCGTATCTCCTTGCCCTTGGACAGCCCGTAGGCCGACCTCCCCTCCCCGCCCTCCGCCCCCCTGCTGTCCCCGGTGGTGGTCCCGCTGCCGCTGCCGCCGCCGCCGCCGCCGCTGCCACCGTTAGCAAAACCCTCTTCTCGGAAAGCGAGGAGTCTTCGCCACTGGTTGAAGGACGCCGCTAAGTCCGTCTTGAGCAGTCGAAAGTCTGCCTCGTAGGAGCCGGTATACGTGTCGCTGTCGTCCGCAGGGCACGGCTGCCGCGCCCACCACCGCAAGCCGCGCGGGTGGTCGTCCGAGATGAGAGAGAGGGAGGGGGAGGGGGAGACGATAAGGGTCAAGGGTGAAAATCGACCGTGCAATGTATGTACTGCAGGCGGCTGGCCAATGAAGAAGGCAAAACCAGCCTCGAAACGAGGGCAAACGGAAGAAACCAAGCAATATCAACGAGCAAAAATGTGAGACCCCAACACACAACAGGAAGGGCGGATGAACAAAAACCCAGCAAGGCAAACACTGAGGGGTGCACACACAGCCACCACAGAACACCGCCGCCGACGCCGCCAGCGCCGCCCTCACCGTCTTGTCGCTGAGGCACAGGATCTCCGCCTCCGGGCGCATCCTCAAGATCGACTCCATCGCCGCGTCCGCCGTTGTGCCGCCGCCGATCACCACGAAGTGGTACCGCTCCTTCAACCGACGACCGCCTCTGTCGTCGTCGTCGTCTTCTCCTTCGTCGTCCCCGAAACCGTCCAGGGCAGACGTTTCCTCCGCCGCCTCCTCCTCCGGGGTGAGGATGTAAACCCTGTAACGCCCTTCGGCGGGGAACTCCTCCTCCTCCTCCCCACCCCCGTCGCCGTTAGGCGGAGCCCCCCCGCCGCCGCCGCCGCTGTTCGGCTCTGGGTCCGGTTGTGCTGCTGGCACCGCCGGTGGCGGCGACTTGGTTCTGTTCTCGTCCGTCTCCTTTGGTGGGTGTTGCTCGCTGTCGGACGAAGAAGCGCTACCTGTGGCGTTTGGTTCCGTCGATGTGGTTGCTTGTCTTGCTGTCCTTGTTGCAGTTTTGACCTTCTGGTTGCTTGTCTACTATCGCTGGGGTCGCTTGTTTGCTGCTGTGGTAGTGGTGTAGGCTTGGTGGTTCTTATCCTTGGGGTTTATCCCACAAGCACACAAGCTTTGTCGAATCGAAGAAAGGGACACGGAAAGTGACGAGACCCCATTTCAGCGGTCGGGGCGCTCGCACTCTTGAGCTACACCGGTAGGCACGACACTGGCCGCCGAACGTGACCGTCTTCGTTCGTGTGTACGGTGCAAGGGTCACCTTCACCGAGAAATGCATGCAACACAGCCACAACCACAACAACACCTTCATCCGACGCACAGCCCTCAACCGGTACACCCAAACCGACACCCCGCCAGACAACAGTGCTACCCTCCAACGCGTCAACCACCCATGCCTGAGCGGCGCTTGCTTCCTAATCCTCCCCCTCCTCCTTCTCCTCCTTCCACCCAAGTCTCACCAACACACCGAGGCAGGCATTCGCGGGCATTCACCTGTCCTACTGGCAAAGCTGGTGTGATAGTCGTCGCCGTGAAGTTCGCCTCTTCCCCCTTCCGCCTCCATCGCCGGAGGGTTTCCGTTGTCGGGGAGGCCTTGGGTGGCGACGAGCAACCCCCCCATCGCCAGGATGGCTCCGACTCCCAGCCCCAACGTTGACGAAGGGTTGTCGGACCTGTGCATCAAGCGAGCAAGGGGGGTGATGGAGGTTGTTGTTGTTCTTGTTGTTGTTGTCGTCGTCGTCGTCGTCGTCGTCGTCGTCGTCGTCGTTGTTGTTGCCTTCACATTCAAGACTTTTCCGGTCTCTGCTCAGGACCCTCTGGCACCCGTACGCGTGATGTATGCATATCAGTAAATAACCCAGAAAAAAGAAAAGTGAGAAAACAGTCGATCGCACCCGATGATGCATTCGCTCGCATAATTTACGGTAAAAAAGTACGAACTTTTACTTCTTGTTTCTGGGGATGACGCTAAAAGAAGAACCCCAGTTCGTGCGACTGCGCCGAGATTCGAATTCGCGTCAAGAGGTGAGCAAATGAGCCGCCGAGGAGGGGCGACCAGCTGGCGAGGCCCAAGACCAAAAAAATCGGGGGGGGGATACTTCTCGCCTCAACAAGACTCTCATGTAAAAACAGTAATGCTTACATGTAGATTGCTGGTCACAGTAAAAACCATTCTACATACTACCAGTAGTCCAACTGATGCGGATGGCTTTCACAGACTAACCACCCAGTCTGGGGGTTCCCAGACATGAAAGAAACGTATGCATAAATGTACGCAGAAAAACGAAATCCTCCAGACGCATTAGGCTACTACTCCTATAATACACTTTCGGAGGAGAAGTTCTGGAGAACCTCGCGTGCGGGGAGGGAACACGAAACAAAGCGTTGCTTTGTACCTTCGTGTAGTATGCACACCAGCAGATTGCGGGAACACCAACAACAGCTGTAGTGTTGCCGTCAAGTACCATTCTTAATTCGGCACCACACAGATCGGAGACAGGACGTTCGAGGAGAGCAAGCAGAGATGCGTTGACAATGATGTAGACGAGACTGTTGTTGTCGGCAACGATCGAAGCAACGAACGAACGCAAGGTCTTTCTCTCCGCCCTCTCTCTCTCTCTCTCTCTCTCTCTCTCTCTCGCTCTCTCTCTCTCTCTCTCGCTCTCTCTCTGTGAGTGAACTTCGGCCGCTGTGTGCATCATGCAGCATCACTCATGTACGTACTTCAACGTTGCTGCCATACCCTTGAACAACAGTACTGCCGCACAATGAATGAACAGACGCCTGCGAACGAGGATCAACAACGACATCATGACGCTTTATACCCTCAGGATGAAAGCGCCAGTCATCACCAGCCGGCCTACCGGAGAGCGGCAGCCTAGACAATACAGGACCCTCTTGCGCGAACAAACCGTGTGCGTGTGTGCCAACCAAACGAACAGCAACATTGTGCTGCTGTATGTAAGATCTCCCACCTCTCTCCGCAACAAACAGCGGAGGGTTGAACTTACCTCGACGATTCAGGGCGAAGAGAAAGCCTCCGCACTGTCCCTCTAGTCGACCATGGCCCATGATCTTTCGCACGACAGCGAGCCTCTCCTCCCGCTGCTGCCGCTGTCAACGACGATCTCGGCACCTTTCGAGGATACTCTGCGCAATCTCTACACCTACCGATCACACCCAAGGGCCTTTGGCTGTGACCAGCCTGGCGGGCGAGCACTCGCTGGGCACCTGGAACCACAACTGCTAGCATGGCTCTCTCTTCGTGTTCGTGACGTTGTAAACAGGTGGCTTCACAAGCAGCACAGCCTTCCCCAACTTGACCTTCATGTTTAGGGGGTCCGCATATGCGATCACGGTACACACGCATACAGTCCAGCGTCAAGACATTCCCATTCCCATTATATGGCCCCCGCCCAGCGACGGTTGTTCATTTTCCAGTTCCTGCAAACACACCCAGCGACCACACCTACACACCTACACGCCAGGGAGAGAGAGCTGCTGCTGCACACTGCACACACACACATAAATCTTTGAGAATCGTCGGTGAAAGAATGGCGTCCGCCGGTGGAGATGTTACCAGGAGGTGAGATTTGTTTTGTGGGGGGACACCAGGCAGGGGAGCTGTTTTCGTTGTGTCCGACGCGGTGGCTGTGGGTGCGCTGCTGCTCGATGCTTGCTTCTTCTCACTCTCACCACCTCCTTGCTGCTGGCACCTCACCCGCTGATCGAGCCATCGATCCTCACCACTGCGAAGGAAGACAGGCTGGTGGCTAGCAGCAGGTCGCTGTTGTTTCGAGGCGGGCCGAGCTTGCAAGTCACAAATCCCCAACAACAGCAGTGTTTTTGGCGCGAACGAACCACAGACCGCACCAGCACCGGAGAGACCGATAAGCCAGCAACTGGCACCCCGCATCGCAGTTCCCCAGCGAACCTTTATTCACACACGCACATGTACACACGCTTGGCCCAGTAGCCTCATTTGGCCTTGGCGTAGTTGTAGCTGCTGGAGGCCATCTACTGGACAAACCAACGGTATGTGCGGGCACTTCTTGCAAACCCCCCGCTTGGCGCCACATCCACTGCCGAGACTGCAGACTACAGCAGCACATTGTATGTATCTGGTGTCGCCTTAATTCGGGAATCGGGGATGGGTGGGGTGAGCAATTGCGGGGCAGGTACATGTGCTTTGGGTGATATTCCCTCTGACCCCACGGATGTGGCTTCTGGATTTGCTGAGATCGCAGACCAAAAATGCCGTCGGGCGACATTGAACAAGACTGGGTGTAGACTATTTGTTGTTTGCTTCACAGTAAAAAAAAATGGATTAATAGCACAGAACGAACGGCATGCACCGCAAGTACTTGGAAGTGAGTTACACCGCAATTACAGCAACAGCACTGCTGTAAGTGCAGTACAGCAATTGTGTTGTGTGCAAGTGCAGTACATCAGTAGTGCTCTTTTGCGCGAAGTCAAACCATTGCGACAAAAATTGCTTGTCAGTTGCAGCTGAAAGCAAACAAGCACCTGTTCGGCGTCTTCATGACCGAAAGTAAGTGTGTGATGGTGTGTGTGCGGTGGTAGTCAGGAAAGCGGCAAAGGCTCACCGTATGGACCACCCTCATTGCGATCGGTACAGCAGTATGCGTACGTCTTCGATTCCCTCGCGATTGACCTTCAAATTTTCTCGCATTGATAACGGAACCGCTGGGAAAAATACAAGCTGCCGAAAAATGTATACCTGTACTCTATAAATGATGCCCAGAATGGAAATGGAACGACACACACGCACACCTGCCATCTATTGGTCAGCCGGCTAGAGCGGTCGATGCTAATACTTGAAGTAATAAAGACACACACACACCTGAATATATCGGGAGGTCAATTGGTCGTGTACTGGGGAGTCCCGATCGGACTGACTGCGAGACGCAAGCAGACTCTGCGGTGCGGGTGCATTATCACCGTCCATGCAACGAGCGCTTGAACTGCCCCCAATCTCCTTTCTGCACGAAGACCGGCGCCTGAGCTTCCTTCCCTGCACAACCGGATGGTTCGCGCCATCCTGAGACCATCTCGCCAGTGCCATGTGCCCATCATAGTCAATGATTTGCTCCCAATTCACCAGAAGCGCTGGTCGGGGAAAGGACTACTGGTACAGCAGTACAAGAATGGAAAAATAGTGGCCCCAATTGGTGCCCTGTAGGGTTGGTTCCGCGCAGGACATGAAGACGAGGATACGTCTCCCCACCAAGTCGGGTCTCATAGGTTTCACCATCGACAACCTTGCAGCGAGTGTGCTACAGCAGGAGCATGAATGAATCGATCCAAACGCCGTCAGGATCCGCCCTCCACGAGAGAACGTCTAGTAAAATGGCAAACCACCATGCGGGAACCATCAACCCGTCTACAATTGAAGCTCTATCCTCTCTTCTGCTCCTTGTTCCACGTATGGTGGTGATCTTGGGCAAAAGTCTCCAGATCGTTTGATCGCAGCTATCGCTAACCGGGGAAAACTACTCAGCCTTTCGGTAGAGCCCAATGGCTAGAGGTGGGTTCGCACGTTTTTTCCAGCTGTAAGACTGACGCGTTTCATTGGTCAGCCGGTCAGGCCGACGCTTGACAACAAAGAAACACACGCATATTGTGCGGAGTCACCTAACTCTTCCAAGCAGAGTCAGTTTGAATCGTTTTTGTCTGGCCGCCACGCAAGAAAAGGGATTCGTGCCGGGCGTGTTGGCTCTAACAACACAAACGCTTGTGGATATCGCGTACCTGTTCACCAGCGCGGCTTCCGCGTTGGCTGAGGGGCTTGGTGGTGTGCTCAGCCTTGTCGGGAGCCCGCCGCAAATCTTACAGTTTAGTTGGCGTCCACTCTTCAAAGTTTTTGTTTTTCCTTATAGAGCGCAATGAATCTATCTCTACCCGTAGATGGTATTGTCGTCGCTTGTTTCGTTTCTGCGGCAGTGTGGCGCACCCCTCGCCCTAACACGCGTGCACGTCGCGTACGACAACCGGACCCAGGCTGCAGCAGGAGCTGATGGGTATCATGATGGGCGCAGACCCCGGCGCCTCGGCGTTTCCCAACGACGACAACCTGTTCGAGTGGACGGCCACACTTTGCGGGAGCGAAGACACGGCGGTAAGACGTACGACGTGCGTACGTATGTAAGTGAGGCGGCGTTGTGAGAAATATCGATGGCGCCAAGCACGCAACAGGCGAAGTTTGCGCTGAGGTCTACGGTTCGCTTCCCATCCCAGGAAGCTGCCCCGACACCCGGATTTTTTCGAAAGGTTAATGGGTTAAATTCCCTGTGTAGAAAAACATAGCCCTGGTCGTGGCACCTGGTAGAAAGCATAAATTATTTGCCTATTGGTAGACGAAATCAGGAACGATCGTGCCCTACTCTGCTTGCCGGCCACTGAGCCAGGAAGGGACGATCGCACTAGAAGGGACTGATCACATGCTGGCATCTATTGTATTTTTTTATATCCCGCCATGTTATATAATTTTCTTGTGTCCGGGAACGTTGCCTCCGGCATTTCGGCGTCGATAGTCTTCCATAACATTGTCGCCCTTCGATGTCAATACATGCAGTGATCGAATGGGTCGGTTAATCTGTTAAAGCTGCTGCCACAAAACACCCTCCGAGCTGTTGATTCTGCTTTTGAAGTCACCGTGATCTACTGGGTCTGAGATGCATATGAGCTGCGGCAAACTGTGCGGTAATTTGTTCGCTTCCCGGTTCCGTTGCCCCCCCCCCCCCCCCCCCCCCCCCCCC